TAGATGCACAAAGGCCGGAAGAAGTGAGAACCGCTCGTCATGGTAGAGCCAGAGGGAGGGAGGGGTGTGGGACCAGGGGCAGGAGAGGAAGCCAAGGGGGATTTTTCTTCCTGCCCTATAAACTACTGAGCTGTTGGGATGTTTCACAGCAAGAATATATCCATATATCATGTGGGTAATGAAACACATGGAGGTTAAGGGAAAAAAAAAAAAAAAAGAAAAAAGCAGCAGCATAACATACCTAAACCTGGGTTCTGTTGGAAGTAGAATACTTGGAACACAGTTCTGCAACTGCATTTCCGATACAACAGGGTTTGGTAGCCTGTCCTAGAAGCCTTCACACCAGTATAAGTGTGGTGGTGATGAAGAACTAAAGAGCGACTGGCCGTAGAGCCTTGGTGTTTGATTCTCTGCTCTAACATTACCAGCTGGCGAGGCATGCAACGGTTCCAAACCTGTTTCCTCAGCTGTAACGTCAGGATAATGATCTGAGAGTTAAAGAAGCTACATCTGTAAGAGGCCTCCGAACAATGAGTGATCCCGAGGCAGTGTTCATTACCCGGTAGCTATCATCTTATGGGAAAACGTGTCCCAGGCTCCAAACCCTTCCACGGTGGGATCATTACATGCACATAAATTGAGGGCTCTATGAATTATATATTTTTGTCGATTCACCTTTTTTTGGAGATGCAAAAGGTTCATGAGATAAAGTATACTTTCAATACACATTTGCTACATGAATTTTGCAAAAACATTCCAGTGGTCAAATATTTACTTTCCATTTAGAGTGATAAAGGCCTGAACAACTCATAGCCCTCAGTTAGTTACAAGAGAGAAATAGGACAGTGGAGGTGAGCACAAAAGCCCAGAGCTAAAACAGTGCTAGATCTGAATTCCACTGGATGTGTGGGCCAAAGAGAGTTGTACCATCCTGTCCCACCCTATTTGCATACATTAGAAGTCACCCATGGGGATCCCACAGAGCTCAGCCTGCTGGTAAAGGTGTTTTGTTTGACCTACATAATATTTGTTTTCTTTTTACTTATTTATTTAATATTCTTTATTTAGTATTTTTTAAATTTGACCAGAGAGAGACACACAGAGAGAAAGAGGGAAAGTGAGAAAGCAAGACACCAGGTTCAGAACTCAAACCATGGTCAGTCACAAGGGAGGGTTCAGACCCTTGACCACCACTGCTGGCCTCCACCTATATAATAATTTTGAAAAACATTTCACTTACTTGCCCACATTCAGATTTGGAAGATTTCACATAAAAATACAGTTTTTATGTTGCATTTTATAAAATTTCCTTATTCATGATAGAATGCATGCACATGTGAGAAAGAGAGATAGAGAGAGGTGAGCCCCCTTTCCAGGGTCTGCTCATGCTGTGATCCTCTTCCTCCAGCCCTCCAGCTGGTCTTTGGGCACCTGTGAGCTGGCACGTTGACCACCCCAGAGATTAGAACCATGCTCACCATATGGGTCCCTCTCCTGAGTAGAGGATTACTATTATGCCTCATAGCTGACTCTTACATTGCCATGGCCAAGCTGAGTCGATGCTAGCAGCAGGGCACCTATGCACTATGCAAGAGCCATAGGGGATGGCTGAGGGCTCAGATCCTGAGTCCACCACACTACCAAGTCTGCCTACAATACTGGCTGGCTGAAGGTCTGGGGACTGGAAGGAATTATGGTGTGACAGGACCCTGCAAGGGCACTTTCTCTCTTTCTCTTCCCCCACCCACCATAAAAGAAATAGATAAACTTTAAAAAACAAAAGCAAATAAGACACACATATCTAGGTATTTGGGGGCTGTTGGCTTGGACTGAATCATTGATTCCTACTTCAATCAAGATAAGGGTTCTTCAAGTAGCTGTAAACCCCAACTGAGCTGACCTGAATCACTCAGGATAACCTCTTTGCCCCTTTAGGCATTGAGTCTGCCCCTCTGAACCTCTGAGTGTTTATTCCAGTGCAATTGGAGTGTTTGGGGGCTAGGATGATCACATGCCTCTGTAATGATCAGAACTGTCTATGCATGCCTGCGGTGTAGAGGCCCCGAAATGGAGGCCATGTATCTCTGTTTACTTTTTAATGAACCAAAGTAAAGCGAGGTGGAGCTCTCTAAAATGTTTCCATGAGGAAATGAAGAGCTGCTATTTATAATCTACTATACTTCTACAATGAGCTAATCTTTATCAGGAGGATCTTGGGTGTATCAAATGCTCTAAAGTTGCATGTCATCACAGCCCATCTATCTGCATCATCTTTCCTACTTGACTGAGTAGCCTGAAATGTTTTCCCTCTGCACATGCTCAAATCCTACAAATGGAAGAAAAAGCTGAACTATGACCCTTGCCTGTGATATATATAGAGAGATACTTATCAACTTTAGTGATATTGAGTTCATTTTTAATATCATGGAGTCAGTTGTGAATCAATACCTGTCCAGTACTTGTCTAATAAATGTTCCTGTCTGACAGTTATTAAAAATAAACAAAAAAGTCGTATTTCCTTAACTTTCCTTAAAGATTTCTCCATGGCAAAATTATTCCCCATAATTAACAAAACAAGATATGAATTTGTTGTAAAAAGAATCTTTCACTTACTAGTAACTTTTTTAGTCTGGATCATTCCTCCTCAGCATTTTATTAAGATAACTTTCAAATATACAGAAAAGTTGAAAGAAGGACACAGTGAGCCACCGCAAATTCACTACCTAGATTCTACAGTAAATATTTGTTGTGTTTACACCCATCCAATCATTCCTCCATTAATCTATCAACTCACCTTCACTTCTCACACATTTCAGAATAAGTTGCAGACAGTAGTACACTTCACCCCAAAACACGTCAGCATGCATAGCATTAGAGTTCAATATTTGTTTATGGTTAAAATTTTTTTACTGTGACAAAATATACATAACATAAAATTTACCATTTTATCTATCTTTTTCACTTTTTGGAGAGATATTTTGCTACAGGGCACTTGAGCTGGTCAGAGAGACAGAGAGAGACAAAGAGACAGAAACCAAGAAGTCACCCCCAGGAGAGATGGCCATGCTGTAATTCCTTCTCCTCCATTCTTCTCTCATGATTTTGGGCACTCACACACACATGCTATCTGTAAGTTTTAAGCTGCCAGGTCTGAGACTCAAACTATGGTCAATTATATGGGAGTCCAGTGATGCAACTGCTACGCCATCTGCTGGTCCCATTTTAACTTTTTTTTTCTTTCTTTCTTTAAAAGACTTTTGCTACAGGGTTGCATGCACCCACTGGAGAGACAGAGAGAGAGAGACAGAGACAGAAAGTGAGAAATCATCCCCCAGGGGAATGGCCAGGACACAATCTCTTCTCTTCCATTCTCCTCTTAGAATTTCGGGCACGCCAGCACATGTGCCCAGTGCGAGTTTTAAGCCTCCATGTCTGGGACTTGAACCACGGTTGACTATGTGGGAATCCAGCAGTATAAACATTACACCATCTGCTAGCCCCTCATTTTAACTATTTTTAAGTGTGCAGTCTTGTGGCATTAAGTACATTCAAACTGTTGCATTGCATCTATGCCCAGAATTTTTCTTTTCCCCAACTGGAACTCTGTATCCAGTAGAAAATAATTCCCCACTCTTCCCTCTCCCTAGTTCTTGGCCACTACCATCCTATCTCTGTTTCTATGAATTTAACAATTCTAGATACTTCACGTAAGTGGAATCATACAGTATTGGTTCTTTTGTGACTGGCTGAAGTCACTTAGCATAATATCTTCAAGATTCATTTGTGTGTCAAAATTTCCTTTCCTTTTTAAAACAGAGCAATAACCCATGATATGTACATACCACATTTTGTTTATCCACTATCCATCTGACGATCAGGTTGTATCCACCTTTTCTCCTCCAAGATTTACTTATTTAGAGCGAATTTAAGTTTCTTCTACCTTTTATAGAAAATAGAGTTTATAGATCTAGAATTCTGCTCCTGTAAACATCGGTGAACAAATACCAGCTGAAGTCTCTGCTTTCATTCCCTTCGAGTATGTATCCAGAGGTAGAAATGTTGGATCATATGCTAGTTGAATGCTTAAGTTTTTGGATTAATCTATGAGTTCTTTTTTATGTAAAACTTACACACAGCAAAATGCACACATCTGCAGTATACCATTTGATTATACCAATTCATATACATGAATTTTTCAATTAGAATGCTGACATCTTTTGTGGCCGAAATCCTGATGCAAAGAGTCGATGTCTAGTCGACATCCAGGCATGCAGTTTCAGGATCTACATACCCGTCTCTTCACATATTGTAAGGTGCGTAAAGGATTTCACAATCCTAAGACCAGGATTTTGTAAAAGTAATTATCTTCATCTTCCAGTACTGACTATAAACACTCTACCTTGTATAAGCAATGACTAAAGAGGGATTTTCAAACAGATGGCCGCATGTTGGACTCAATTTTTTAACTCCTGCTCTTTGTAGGTAGCATTAAATAGTAGTAGGGTGGTTTGCTAATACTTGTTAACCTTTTTTAAAGTTTATTTATCCATTCCATGAGTGAGAAAGAGACAGAGAGAGAGACACAGACAAAGCAGCCCTGACACAGTCCCGGCACCACAATCCCCCCCCCCCCAGCTCCAGCCAGCCCAGATCATAGGCACACGGGTGCCTGGTGCACTCAGGGACGTCCCCAGATGCAAAGAAGCAACACTTCCTTGTGAGTCTGCCCCCAAAGCATCCTGGGTAATATACTTTATTCCTGATCTAGGAGTTTCACTTCTAGGAATCTTTCTTATAAAGTACTTGTATAAATGTTCCAAGTTATATTTGCATACAGTTGTTCCTTGCCACATGGCTTGTAGTAGGGAAAAATTGGAAACAACTCAAATATCAGTCAGAAGGTAACTGCTAAAAATAAATCCTGATATACCCACATTTAACTGGTATAACTTGCTTTACCAGCTTGGACACAAATGAGGTTACATCTTTTTTATTTTTTCAAATTACATTAGGTCCAAACATCTATGAGCCAGATTAGTGCCAGAGGAAGTCCATTGCCTGTCTTCTTTCTTAAGGCTTTGTCCTCTCCTTGAATTGTCCAGCCGTCCTGGGGCCTTACTCCGTGCAAAGTGGCCTGTCCAGCTTCTGGAGAGAGGACTAGAGAATCTGATTAGTCTATTAGGAGCCTTATTTTCAGCGTCTGTTGCTTCTGTTTGCTATAATGTGACTGTTGAAAGCTGCAAAAGTAATAAATTGGAACTAGCATTAGAAAATAAAGATGAGAGGAAGTTTGAGTGTGTTGTTTTGAAAAAATAAAAATAAAGATTGTTCATCTTTAAACATGATTTATCTTTGAAGATATATACAGTATAATAGAATTTAGTTTTTACTGAACTCTAATTGCAACAATGCTCTCGTTTTTAGAATAACAAAGAATGAATCAAGTGCTGATTTGGTAAAAGGGAGAGAATAATTTTTCTAACAAAATTATTTGATAGCAAATTTCGACACCCTTCACTTCACACTGACTTTTATAGCAGAATGACAAGGGTCATTTTGAAAAGTGAGGGCTTCATCAATTTTCCTGAGAGCCTCTCTTAATCCTTTGATATTCAAATAAATCTCCTTTTGAAGAATTTATCCTGTTATCATCCTTGTTGTTTTTCTCATCTTTAATTGTTAACTGGTCTAACATTGCCAGATACTCATTTGCTTATGGAACAGTTCTCCAAAATCACTCTCAATGACTTCATAAAATCCTGCTTCTTTTGCAAGATTAGCAATTTTACATTGCATCCGAAATACATTTTATTTACATTGTATTGTGGGATGTTTATAACATCTACAATCAGCAAAATAGACTGGCTGAGTGGGGTTAGATGCTGGTATTAAGTCAGAAGGGCTATTTAAGTGGGGACTAATTTAGTAAGTAGTGAGTTCATTAGTGGATACTTTCCTGTTATGACCAA